GCGCGGCTTGTACGGCAGGGACTCCATGTACCCACGCGCCTAAGTATACCAAGAGTCAAGAAAATTGCATAACAGGTAGCCTGGACTAACTAAATCTGTGATTCAAAGAGCTATTTATCATAAAATATTGATCCCAGTTAGAAATATTGTTATTTCTGGGAGTTTTATGAATGAATTCTATTTCCGCTGCGTCACTGTCGTGTCTTCATTAACATCTAACAATTCTTATCATCAAAAATATCCGCACGTATATGTGTATTTAGACTATACATGAAGTTTTACGTCAAAGCATACAAAAACAGCTAAGTCTGATAAGCACATTTAAGTAAATAAACTGTCAGTAAATCTATTTACTGCAAAAAGCAACGTTTAATTCACTTTATCAGTAGAGTGGTAAATAGATTTACAAGAGTATGCACTTTAAAGTGCAAATACCTACTCTATGACGTAACATAGAGTAAGAGTACTTTACATTTATATACGACTAATTGTAACAAATAGAAGGTATGAATACATACAAGTTTTTTAAGTAAATGTGTATACAGGTAAAATAGTTATACAATTTTTATCATAACAAACAAAACCCAAAACACACAAAAACATTCTCTGGCCTGTTTTCATATAAAAAAATAAAGTTTTGTGAACGTTTCAGTATGAATTCAAGGTAAAACATGTATGTTATATACCAATAGCTATAAAACTTTAGCTTTTCAATAGGAATAATTACAATAAAAACAAAAAAAATATTCAGATTCCACTGCCTAAAATAAAAGCAACAAAATCGACAATCGAGAGTGTTGTGACGACAGGCGCAAACTTTTCCTTCCAGAGTTATTTTTAGCGGTATCCGAAAGTAAAATAACCGAAACACAAATAAAACAATGAACTAACTTTTATACGGAACACGGCGACTTGTTACTGAGTTTCGCAACAATGTCTTTATTTCTAAACTTGTGATTGTACTGTACACATTTAGACTTTTATTTTTTAGTCAGTGACTTGAAAGTTAAAATTCCACGAAATTTACCAAATAATACAGTAGGAATAACAAGTAATTTGTACCAAGATATTGTAAGATACACTAAAGGATCTAAAACGGAACACCGTAAATTATGAATATATTATGAAATCTCGCGAAGGAAGGCCCAAAAGTGTCTCTTCGAATTAAGATAGTAATAGTTTTGAACCAAATGAATCTAATAAGTCATTATCTTCGTAACGATTGGCGTTTTTAGTGTATGTTCATACTATTTATGATCGTTTATACCTTTATGTAGGCTACAGAATTGACCAATTTCTTTGAAAACGATAATTTCAAGTCTAAAGTAAATTTTGTGTGTACTTTAAGTGCTACATTACGAAGTGTACCTTCTCATTGATGATGCAGTCGAGGTCCTCCTGGCTGGGCGAGCCGAGCACGCCGAGGATGTGGTTGAGCTGGTCGAGGTAGTGCTTGCCGGGGAAGATAGGTCGGTTGGACAGCATCTCCGCCAAGATGCATCCCACTGACCAGATGTCGATTGACTTTGTGTAACCCTGTCACAATTAACTCATTTAAAATTGCATTTCATTTGAATAAAAAAAACAGTTTTAATAAATTAAGTTATACGACAATAAGCTGAAATCAAAGTATTTGTAGTGTTAAATGTATAACTTACCTTAGAGTTGAGCATTATCTCCGGGGCTCGGTACCAGCGCGTGGCAACGTACTCCGTCAAGAAGCCGGTGTGGTCGTGATCGGGGTCCGCCACGCGAGCAAGACCGAAGTCACATATCTATAACATTATGAACGATACACCACCTTGTTGAACGTCATAATTCAAACCCTTCAAATGCCGTAACAGTTACTAAATAACTGAATATATAGATTCTCTTTCTCTCCTTATTTATACCCTATATGGTGCGGTCTTCTATCCTTATTAGTCTTTTAGTACTTACTCACGTTGAAATAAAAAAGTAAATTCTCGTTGTGCAAAAGCACATTTTAAATGTGTGAACTTGTCCATTAATATTTAATTTAAACGTCGCAGTTCTGTCGCCAAACAAGCTTATTTGTCACGGTTTAATATTAAACAGTTTGCCGACGGAGGAATGAAAACTACTACTCGGCAACCACGAGACCATTCATTATTTTGTTGTTGACACGTCGCTGCCAGAATAGCTCTCACTAGAACAACTCTATAAATTTTTAATAGCCAAGCCGAATCAGTTCTTAGTTGCAGAATAATGTTCCTCGAATAGTTTGATAAATCAGGTTGTTTGTCAATGTTTCTCGAAGCAAGGGACGATAAACAAAATGTATTAATAGAATGTTTAGAGGCTGTTGTTGAATGTCGGGGCCATGTTGTCAATTTAAATGGAAAAAACTTCTGTTTTCCAATGAATAATTATCAAAACCATTTTTAAATCAAAAAGTCCTTACATTTTTTCAAATCAACTGTATAAACACATAAGAACAGTATTTTCAAAAAGTAACAATAGAGCTTATATAATCATTAATATCAATAAATGTGAAAGTGCAAAGCGATGTTCGTAACATAAATGTAACCTTCAGATCACAGGTGGTGTTGAGTAATAGATTGGAGGGCTTGAGGTCCCTGTGGAGCACGTTCGCCGAGTGGATGTACTTCAGACCTCGAAGGATTTGATACAGGAAGTAGCAGATGTGATCGTTACTCAGTTTCTGAAAGAAAACGCTCGATTTAATATCTTTCATACTTACGTCAAAAACATAGAAAAAACTAGCTATCGCCCGGGATTCCGTCCGTGTGAAATTAAAAAAGTAAGTGGTATATGTGTTCTTCCAGATCATCCTCTACATTTATAAAAAATTTTATCAAAATCCGTTCTTTCGCATTTATAATATTAAAGTAAGAAGATAGTGAAGGAGAGTAATATGTGTCAAAAAGTATTTTTTTATAATAAAGGCATTATGTGTAACAGTGACATTAATCACTATTGGGGGAATTCACATATAAACCGCAGGTGCATGGTTCGATTGCTAACCAACCCAAGCTTATATCCTGGACCATGACCGCACTTCCACTGTGAATTAAACTTACAAACTTTCACTGTTCAATAATACCAATTTAACAAAGCACATTCAAACAGTAGTCACGGTAATTATCCAAAAAAAAATACATTTAAAAAACCGTACGTCTCGTTACGAACTTCTAAACAAGAGTAATAATGAACACCATAGAAAATAACATGGTCAAAAAATGTATTTAAAAATCAATGTCATGTTACCTGCGTTTTCAACAGTTTGTATAGATCGGTCTCCATTAAGCATTGAACAATGTAGACATCCTTCATTTGGTCGATAGTGTCTGCTCTTAAAATGTCCCGAATGTCGATGATCTGGAACAAAACAAAGCATCGACACGCCCGAGATAACAACAGCGTCCTGTTCGGTCACAACATTACAAAAAACAACCCCCACTTTATCGACAACATGTGGGAAACAATATGGGATCGTGCAATGTGCGCGCGCGATGTTCAGATTTTACGTGTGAACTTGCCCGCGTTATAAAGATGTGTAAAGTGTACTTCAATATATTTAAACTTTAACTGCAACTATAGCTAATACTGTCTAGACATTCATATTGTATTCATTCAATGTTAATTCAAATTGTAATATGAAAAATATACTTTTAAACCACTGATATAACGGCTGGACTGTCTTTGACTATTTGTTAAGTTTACTTGAAGTTAATCCAAAGGGCATAAAATGAAATCGTTATTACCATTTAGCGTACAAGCCGTTGTAGTTGTAATATTACCATACAAATAACTATGATTTACAAACACAAATGAGACAATTAGTATGTCGAGTAAATCTGACCTAGAACAGCTGTATTTCTGATGTAAATACAGGCATATGTTTCATGGTAATTGGAGCAGGAATATATCACAGTAACGAGGTATTTTATCTCTATTGAAGGGTAACAATTTCACTTTACGACAACTTGTTATTCGCAATAAAAGACTTACGTTCTCGTGCTTAAATCGGGTCAGGATTTTTATCTCCCTGAGCGTCCTTTGGCAATACGTCTGGTGTTCGAACGGCGATATTTTCTTGATGGCCACTTTTGTTACTTTCACGTTGTCGAAGGCGGATCTGTTGACAATATAAAAGTTCTATTTATCTGCTTTACGAATAAAAAGTTTACTCTTAGATTTATATTATAGACCAGATTTCACCCCCGTGAAATTAAAACAAACAAAAGTGAGTAGCCTATGTGTTCTTCCAGACTATGCTCTACATTTATGACAAATTTCATCGAGATCCGTTCAGCCATTTAGGCTACAAATTCTAACAAACATCCATCCATCTAAACTTTTGCATTTATAATATTAGTAAGAAATAAGACAGACCATCGTTCCTAAGCATGTATAATTCTACCATTGTCATTTTGTCACCTCTAGAAAAAGATATCCTAATAAAGTACATTGCATTCTATTACTTTTGGGTAGACAAATAAGTCATATCAGTAACCTCCAAATAGGACAATTACATGCCATCGCAAGTCCATAACTTCAAGGATAAAAATTACTAACTTTGTTTCCATTGTTCGTGACAATAACATTATGTTACGCAATTAGGCCATTGTAATGATTATGCACGTTTATAAAATAAATTGTTTGTCAGATTGTTTACGAATTAATTTTACTTACTAATCAACAACCTAGATTCATATAGAAAAACAAATAAATAATACCACGTACAAGACCTTACTAGGCAGAACGTATCAAACGTTAAAAAATTTAGGCGATATAAAATTAGTCATTACCCTGACATGCAAGTAAACTGACTTGGATTTGATATTTCATATATCGGAGTATAACCAAGAAAATACAATGCAAGAGAACGCGTATACAGAACAAAAGTGTCAAACGTTCCAGTTTCCATAATGGTTGCCAACCTCCGATAGACGACTTTCAGACGGCTTTCAGTGAACAAATTAACATCTTTGTTTTTAAAAATTCGTTTAAATAAGTGTTTCGACAGTGGAAACGCACACTAAAGACCACCATTGACAAACGATGATTGTTTTATTATCAAACACCTATTTATAATTGTCATAACTTTGAGACGGCATTCAAAACAGCATCATGTAAACAAATAAGGCCTGATAAGTACAACAATAATTAATTAATATTTATTATAATACCGAGTTATAATATATTATTATATGGAAGTCGACTGCACTTTGTCCTCAGGCATATTATTTGTACAAAGCTACGAAAAACATAAGAAGTAAATTCCATATTCAACTTGTCGGAATTGATGATATTTTTTAACTATTACAGTGATAACGAAAGTAAAAATAAAAATGAAGTTTGTTTTAAAAATCAATTGTTCTAATAGATAACTGTCGAACAATTTGATCTCTTAAAAATATCTAATCTAACAACAAAAACCTCTAGACTCGGACATAAAATAACATCAATATTTCATAGTACTTTAGAAAACATCCCTCTTGTTAGAGTAACAACGGTGCTGAATGTTAAAGTGCGAAATGGGTCCTCTCCCGGCGGACCTCACTCGACTTTAATGTAAACTACACAACGGATATAAATTGTACATTAAAAACTAACATTTTTATTCATAAACTACAATAAAATACATACATTATTATATTAACTTAATTAAATTCCAGATTAAATACGAATAAAGGAAGCATTTTCAAATCACAAGCGACAACTTTACATCTTTTCTTTTTATTTACTAGGATTTAAAACTGCCAGTTACTCAGCGGGTATTCAATTACTTATCAAGATCTCACGTCGACTACACAATCACAGTATTTCAAGCAAAAACCATCGTAATTTTTTAAAAGAAAAAAGAACAATTTCGGATGGGTTTTCCTCGAGTGAGAGGGCTACGATAACGAAGGAAGATGATAGACCGACCCCTTTGTAGCTGAGAAACCGTTATCCTCGTATTTTCGTGTAACGCGATCGTTTCCTTGACAAATGTCCTTTCTACGATATCTGCTACCATTAACTGAGTTTCTCTTCCTATTTTATTCGTAAAAAACAACTGATTTAGCTCTTCAAAATATTTCCATGCATTGTTTAACAATCATTGCACGGAAATGCCATTTATTGTGTAGCTATCCACTGAGATGTTAGCCAGTCATGATAATTTTAAACTATTGGTACCCAATGTGTTTCAGGAGAACCCCCTGTACACGGTAAAGTTCTTGCATAAAGTTGAATGGAAGAGGAAATGTCGTACTTTGGTAAACCGAAACCAGTAAAATTAAAAACAGTCTACAAGAAAAACTTTGGGAATCTCTGTGCTAAACAATAAACATAACTTTAGAGAACAAACACGACTTTACAACACGTGTAGCATCAGGCAGAACTTTTCCCGCAGGTCCCGTTTTATAAATTTTCCATTTCATTCAATTGTAAAGTTTTCATTTTATATCCTCGGGGGATGAACGTCTATAGAAAGGTGGATTGAAAAGTTTTCTACAACGTTATAAAGCAATAGAGCGGATAAGTTTTTTATTATTTTTCTACAAACCAGGTAAATTATAGACAGATATTTCAAAGTTTCATGCAATTTTTAAGTTACTGCAACATAGTTTCGTTGCTTTAAGATGGTAAAGATTACCTTAATACAGTAAAACCTCGATAAGTTAAAGTCCAAGGGAAACACAAAATATTTTAAGTTATCAAGGGTCTTACAGAGGTTTTCTGCTCTGAAGGGAAGGGAACATACTATGTTTTGAAGGTATAGAGGTTTTTAAGTTACCGAGGTTTGAGTTATCGATGTTCTACTGTATAGAAATAAGAATAATTATCCTATACCGTATTTTTAAAGGGTTAGTAGACAAACGTACCCACTTCGCTAACATAAGCTTAATACTAAATTGATAAAGTTTGCCTCCGCATCGTGTCATGCCCTTGTACCCATGTCAAACAACTTCCCACAAATACACCCGAGAAACCTTCTGCAAAGTAATCTTAGCTCATCCAAAACATTTCTTATGGATATAATTCATTCTTATTTTACAATAGAATAATTTTATATTTAAAATGATATAAGGCATTTCCAATTTTTAGAAATCGCCGGTGGCGAATTCGGTATAGTTATATAAACTCAATATAAAATCACATTTTATCTTTATACGAAAGATAAAAATTGATTTTATATTGAGTTTTAAGGCAATCTGTGATTACCAAGAACATATCAAAGAGCTTGAATATTTCAAGTAAATATTACTGTTTTCGTCATATTTTTTTAATAAATCATTTCATGTTTAAATTACTAAACAATTTTAAAAATTCTACATTAACTTTTATAATTGTTTAGATAATTTTAATTTTATAAACGCTGTGGAGATAAATCCTAAACAATTGAAGCTTATGTCTAAGGGCTTTATCTAAATAGAAAAGTGAAAGCTTTTTTATTACTAACATTATAAATCTTATTAAGCAGACAACATTTAAAATTTTATATATATCACAATCAAAAAGGAAAAATTTTGTACCGAAAAATCAATAAGCTATACATTTTGCATTACATTTCATTTATCCAAAATCAAAAGTATTTTATTTCTTGTTGTTTCCTGTTTACGTAAGTATAACACTAAATAAAACCGAATATCACGATTACTATATGCAATATTTTAAACATTATTGTGATATTTGCCTTTTACAACTCAACAAATTCCCGCATTTTTTGTTACTTTCAGGTCAAGTTCATGTGTCAACTCAGTCCAGACAACCATAAACTAATATACGTAAAAATTGAATAAAAATCCACTTGTCTATTGTTCTAAAACAATGCAGTCGCGTTGTGTTCGAGGCACGTACAGTAGTTACATCCGCAGATTTGAAGCAGGAAAAATTGTCGTATAACGCACGGAGGTGCGAGACCACGGTAACTGTGAGTCATCGAATGACACGCTTGATTCAGCGACTACATGTCGCTTTAAACACTAATCATTCTAAATATAATGTCATAATATCGCTTATGAACTTGCACACTTTTACTATCACACGAGTTAGAATCGAAATGTATGATATATTAGCGCTTACTGAACTTTTATTGAAAGATTGGCAACACTGAGCAAAAATGATTGTATACGTATAATCTACGATAGCCTCTGACTCATTCTTTGAACATTCTAATTTATACTATGACGTAAAATACCAAATAATATGAATAATAGTCAGAATTGCTTATAAACATTTTGGTATTACATGACACATACAAATGCCAGCCTAGCTCTAGCAACGAGTTGAACATTAGCCCGTACAAAAGGAATTCATTACTGGCGGCGATGAAAGCTTTCACGGATTTAATAAATGCCGCGTCAGCGAGGCTTTGGGACCTTTGACGTCATCA